TACACATTCTAGGTTATATAATAAGACGTTATTTGAATAACAGCTGATTATTACATTTCAAAACTCCCCAACGAGTGACACATTTGTGGGATCCGTCAACCCTTGGTCCCAGTCACAAAACATATACACTGAAGAAGGTTTAATTCCATGTTATTCAATGACAACACGGTGACTTGTATGGTTGTCAGCGGCCATTTCTTGAGGGTGCGACATGGTTGCCAGATTGTGCATTAGTATCTCGTTTCACCCCCCTGGTCCCAGTGGAATACGCTCCGCCAACTGTTGAAATATACTCTACTATGCTTTATAAGACTATTCGTGGAATTTTTCCCAAAATCGTTGCACAACACTTGAGAAAATGCTAATGAAAATTTAAAATTATTTCCATGACGCCTCAAAATAGCTGCGCCGGTACCTCGGGTTATATATCATGACAGCAGGGATGTTCGATACGATCCTATATTTAGAAGTATCGATACTTTTGCTTCCCAAACCCGGTATTTTTGATCGATATTTTTATATACGACACTTGGGTGTATCGATATATTTCAGGAGTATCATCATCTTTCGATCCGGACTGTGTCAGAAAGAGTGACTAATTTTATTCCAATATTTTAGAGTATCGATACTTCCTAAAACGATAAGAATTGATACATAACGATACTATTTGTGGACCTAAACATCCCTAATCTTGACAGCTTGTCGTTCTTGTCAACTGGGCAGCAGGGTGCGGTGTTGCCTTTACTATCTTACATTTTGCTAAAATCTTATGACAAATAAAAGCTTCAAATGAAATATTGACGAATACGATATCCATAGAATTTAGAATATGAATTCATATTGCAAATTTCAGATTGCTATTCATGGATTTGAACCGGATTTTTCGGTATTTTTACCGAAAAGAGAATATTTACCGAGAACATCATTCTCCACTATTTTTCAAAATAATTTAAATATTTCTATACTTGCCGAAAAAGAGCTAAAACCAAAAATAAAGCTAAAAGTCAATTTTATGGAGTATTCATAGTTTTATGCCCATATCAATCATACATATGCATACATACTCAGGCAGTCGGGCACATGAGAGGCGTATATTTGGGTTGCCTATGATTACACACGTACATCCTCATCCCTTACTCCGCTTGGCCTGAATTGATTTTTGTGCATACAAAAGGTACAGACTGGTAGATTACCGTCATTACCTCATCACCGCACAGTCAATAAAGAAACCGAAACCTGTCTGTTTTCAAAATAAATATTTAATTATAATGAGAGGTGAGTTCTGGGGCAAAACAGAAAAATATTCAGAATCCCATAAGCAAGAATCGAAAAAGGAGTTTCCAAATTAGTTTGCTAAGGACTTTGAAAGAGCGACCAGTATGCAAATTGTAGAAGTTAGAATAGAACTATGCCCTCAAAAAACATGTTGTGTGCGCGCCCAATACAATAACAGACGTTTTCCATGACTCAAAGGTCCTTGATCTACCACTGATCTTGGGACGGCATTTACCTTATGTATATCGAACTCAACGACACTATTTATCGATTCCGTTTTTCCCGGTTCGGCAACACTGCAGATCACTTTAAAAGCAATTGATACCCCAGACGTGTTATAATAATAGAAACAATAAGAAAATATAACAATGTTTGGAGATATATTTTCATAAATAGGTATTTTTGATTCTGACATAATGTCTATACGATGAATGATAGGTGGATGCGGATACTTGTACAAATATCGATGTTTTAGGACTCAGAAATGCAGAATGTGCTGTTTGTTTACATTTGGTGTGGAGTTCTAGATCATAAATTGGCAAAGATGTTTTTGATGTAACAAAAGTTGGTGAACCAGTTGGAATACGTTTTATATCTTTTTTTTGCAAAATAACAAAAGTCGGTACATTTCTACAGGTACGTATTATGTACAACACCCTGTACGTGATATACAAACAAAACTAGATTGCCATGCATGAACAGCTGGAAAATCGACCTGTTATTTGCCGCACTCCCATTGGTCCCACTTAAATAACTGACCGTCTTTTCTGAAATGATGAAAATTTTAAATTCAATGAAAGTTGTCCTAATTTTAAGGCACAAAGACATAATATTACATCTATAATGTACCCTTATTTATAAGGCAAACGTTTTTTCACGACTTTATTCAACATTTCAATAGAAATCACTGATATTCAGAGAACTTTGGCAGCTTCTGTCAAATTGCATTTCGATAAGGGTAAGAAAATGTTGTTGCTTAAGGTTACTAGAATTGGACAAGCCTTTGCTCTGCCAGCAAAAAGTAGTGCTCCGCCTGGTATGCGCTTACATTACAGCCGCTTTACACGAAGACACACGTATCACACATCGTCTCTGTGAAAAGTGCGAGTTCTTTGTGCTTTTTGGGTGTCTTTATCGATCAAAGTCACGTCAGCCGATGCAGTGTGGCATGAAGTTGTAGCCGAGGTATTGTTAGCTGGTTGCAGTGAGGTAAATAGGTGAATTATTAGAATTTAGAATGACTCTCATCTGCCTGATATGTGAAACAGCTGTTTCTCGGAAACAAGCATCCATTTTTTGCGGTGGACCGTGCAAAAAAGTGGTACATGTTTCTTGTGTTTATGCTGGTACGGTGGACTTACCTACACTTGTCAAATAGATTCCTGGGCTGTCTTGGAGATGTAATGACTGTCTTTCTTCTGATGTTACTATAGAGGATATAGATCTTGGTCAACTTGTTGAAAGCAAAATTAGTCATGCCTTGGATTCGATTGTCGCACAGATTAGTGAACTTAAGTCGACTGTTGAACAAGCTGTTCTGCAGAATCCTGATGCTTCAAGTGTTACCAAACCGATCTCATATGCCAGTGTCTTAAGGAATAAGACGGTTCCTGCTGTCATAATTAAGCCTAAAGAAGCACAAGATACGTCAAAAACGAAGACTGATATTCTACAGAACGTGAATTTAGTTGCTGATGAAATTCATATATCCAAGATAAAACACGTCAAAGATGGTGGCATCCTCAATGGCTGTAAGAGTGCTGAGGGCAATCTCAAACTGAAGAAATTAATCCAAGAAAAAATGGTTGGGTCCTATGATGTCAAAGATGTTGGTGGTGTCAATCCAAGGGTTCGTATTATTGGTATGACCTCGGAATATTCTGCTGAGCACCTGCGCAATCAATTAATCAATATGAATGATGTACTTATTAGTAATCCGAATGATTGTAAAATAATAAAAATTCTTCCTTTCAAGCGCGATAATGCAAAATATCAGGCTGTTGTTCAAGTAAACAAAACCTCATATGTGAATATGCTGAAGGCAGGCAATGTATTCATTGGTTTAGACTGCTGTAGAATTTTTGATGCTGTGCAAGTATCTCGTTGTTTCAGCTGCAATGGATTTAATCATTCTTTTAAATTATGTAAGAAAGAGCGCTCGTGCCCGAGATGTGGAGAAAACCACGCTGTCAAGGATTGCAAGTCTGCTACTTTGAAGTGTATCAACTGCGTCTTTCGACGAAGCAAAGGTGAGCTTAACGTTTGTACTAATCACGCCGCCTGGGATATTAAAAATTGCTCCTCTTACTTACAAGCTTGTAGCAAGTTACGAGCCGATCTGTTAAGTGTAAAATAGCAACCAATTGCCTCTGACTCCAGTTCTTGCACCTTGGAACCTACAACTTCTTCAAAAAATACTCCAGAGCTATCTGTTTATTATCAAAATGTAAGAGGCCTGAGAACTAAAACTTCTGCTTTCTATAACGGCACGTGTGCAGCTGATTTTGATTGCTATGCCCTATCTGAGGCCTGGTTGGACTCTTCAGTTAATAATTCTGAATTATTTAACCAGAACTACAATGTGTACAGAAAAGATAGAAATTTTTCTCTTATCAACAAAACACGTGGAGGTGGCGTACTTTTGGCAATCACGGATAAATTTTTCTCAGTCTGTTTAGATGTGCAATGTAAAAAAGGCGCGTACACATCTGGCGAACGCATGTGGCTGAAGCTCTTCGATCGAATTCATTCGATGATTTCGACGTTCGATGGAAAATTTGCTCTGCCGTCCACATTACGGTGAACGAATTCGTTTGCAGTCATTCGTCGAGGTTCGCGGGTATTTTTGTAAATGGTAAAAAATGGCGCCGATAATGAGGATATAATTATTGCAAGTGCGTTGTATATTATTATTAGTGAGGCGGAGACCGAAGCATTGAAAGAGCCCCCCAAGAAACGACGAAAACGGCGCTGGTGGACAACATCATTGTTCAAAAGCAGAAGTCGGTATAGAGGGATAGACTTAATTAGTGATCTAAAAGCTGAAATGGAATACGGACTTTTTGTAAATTTTTGTAGAATGAAGTCTACTGATTTTGAATGGTTATTAAATGAAATCGGTCCAAAAATCGCGAAACAAGATACAAAGTTTAGAGAAGCAATACCGTCAACAGAAAGGTTAATGTTAACTCTACGATATTTAGCTACTGGTGACTCATATACAAGTTTAATGTATACTTTTAAAATTTCAAAGGATAATACCAGAAGTTTGCTCTGCTATAATTGAGACGCTTCAAGAATACGTTAAGGTGAGTTCAATAGTTATGTATAATATGCTTTAGGTATTTATTAAAAAGTCTAGGGTTTATATAAAAAAAAACAAAAAATGCCTTAAAGAGTATCTGTAAATGCATTTATAAAACGTATAATGGGTGTCTTCGGATTATCAGTTTCCTGTAACGTCAGGTTTGATGGGGTCGCCGACAAAAAAGACTCATTTTCATTCAGTGGACCATCTGATTCTGAAGGTGATGGTAAAGGAGTACTGATGCTTTGAGTGTCTGAAGCATATTGATTATATGAATTGGGTGTTGTACTAGGCGTGATACTCGTATAAATTTGTTGATTGGGTTGAGATAAATAATATTGTTTGTGGCTAATGGAACTGATTGAGGACGCGTGTGGTTCATAAAGTCCCTTATCAGCCTTATACAGAATATCTCCAATTAGATGTTCCACTTCACTTTGTGTATGCGCGCTGTATTTTCTATGCTTTGCAGCAACATGTTCTCCAAAAATTGTGCTAAGGTCTCTTGTTTTTTACTTGCAAGTGTTTCTTGTAATATTTGGTATGCTTCTTGCCTTCTAGAGATAGCACTGGTTGCTCCTTGATTCACAGAAGCCACAGATGGTACCCGTTTGACCCTCTTGGGAGATATAAAATTTGATTTTCTTTTGAGGGTTATTCGTTCTGGTACTTCTGTTACTTGCGTGTCATTATTAATTTCGTCAATACCTATGTCATTGTTGGCCATGTCTTCCTCTTCCTTCTCCTCCTTCTCTTCTTGATATTGATTCCTTGGTCGAATCATCTCCTGAAAAAATTTTGGTTTCATATTTTTTTACACTAACGTTTTTTTTTGTTTTTAGATGCCTACAACTAATGGCGATATGTTGCGGAAATGTTTGAAGCTCTATGGAATTTTCCTCACTGCCTTGGTGCCATAGATGGCAGACACTGCGTACTTCAGGCACCCATACACAGTGCCAGCGACTATTTCAATTATAAAGGAAATTTTAGTATAGTTTTGTTGGGAGTTGCTGATCCAAATTATTGCTTTTTGTTTGCTGATGTTGGCTGCCAAGGTCGGATTTCAGATGGAGGTGTGCTAAAAAACTCTATATTCTGGAAAAAACTGCAAAACAATGAGCTCCATTTACCACCTGATGACATTCTACCTAATAGACATGTGAAAGTTCCTTATGTATTTGTAGGAGATGATGCATTTAGCCTTAGTGAGCATTTAATGAAGGGGTATCCAGTAGAACAAAAAAAAGGTTCTAAGAAACGTATCTTTAACTATAGACTGTGTAGAGCCAGGCATATTGTTGAAAATGTTTTCGGCATCATGTCAGCTGTTTTTAGAGTTTTGAGAAAAGTGATGCTAGTATCACCTGAAAAAGCAACTTTGGTAGTTTTAGCATGTGTCTATTTACATAACTTCCTAAGGAAAAGTAAACATTCTCGCAACACTTATACTCCATCAGGAACATTTGATGATGAGAAAGAAGGAAAAATCATTCCTGGACAATGGAGACAGGGAAGCGAAAATAAAAATGCAGAGTCCTTTCTTCCAATACCTAAGATAGGTCGAAAAAGTTCGGCAAATTGTGAAGCAATTAGAAATGAATTTGCTACATATTTTATGGGCGAAGGTAGCGTGAGTTGGCAACTTTCACATGCGTAGAAATTAGTCGGCTAATTATAATATTCTGTCTTATTACTATACACTGAGGTCGTACAAATCTCCCTATTTTATTTTATTTGATAAAAAAATAAATATTTTGACTTACCTCTGTGTTTTTAGTGTCTTTTGGTATAAACTTGTCCATCAAGAAAAGCATTTCTTTGAAAGCGAACCAGCTAGATTTAAAAATTGTGTCGGTTCCTGAGCCAGTTTTAAACGACCTATCTTGTTTTTGTCTCTCACGTCGGAATGATGTTAATAAAGATTCCATTTTCTTTTTGACCTCCCCTGTATCGCCTTTCATAATTTTGCTGATGTCGTTCCAGGCATCCATTTTCTTTATTTTATTTTTGTAATCTTTATGCACTGGATTCCATAAAACTTCCCGTTCTCGATATAAACCAATAAGTTTTAAACAAGAGGAATTAGTCCACTCCATTATCGCTAAATAGAAACTCAAAACAAAATGACCACGATGAGACACTTAAAAACTGAAAAGCGTACACACTAAACACAGCCAAACGAATTCGTTCTTCAATTTTCTTTTGATGTACCGCCCAGTGACCGAACTCTCGCGAAGGCAAACACATGCGTTTGTTAGGTCGTACACATTTACCGACGGCGTTCGGTCGAAAGGCTTCGGCCACATGCGTTCGCCAGATGTGTACGCGACTTAACTTACCTGCTGTGGATATTGTTGGAGTAAAAACTGTATTTGGGAAAACAAGTTTGTGCATTTTGGTGTTGTATATCCCACCTACGGAACCTCTTTCTACATATGAAACTGTTTTTGAATTAATCTGTGCAATTCATTCCTTGCATGATGCCAATATTTTTATTCTGGGTGATTTTAATATTTCTAGTTATGCGTCATATGTGCTAAGTGGTGAGGAATCTACTGTGGTTAGTAGTTTGCTTAACTTTTGCATCTTTTATTCTCTTGAGCAATATAATTACGTTTTCAATTCTACCATGAGACTTTTAGATATCGTTTTATGCAATTTCATGTGTAGTGTTGATAAATGCAGCGATCCCATACTGCTGGAGGACCAGCATCACCCGGCGGTAGTTGTCTCCATTAATGAATTGCTTCCCAAGCAAGAAATTCAATTTGACAGAATGGTGCATAATTCTTTCAACTTCAGAAAATCTAATACCTCTTTATTGTATGATCAACTATTCTGCACCAATTGGAACTTTCTCGATAGCATTCATGATGTTGAGGAAGCGTGTAAACAATTTTATGCTGCCTTGAATGTAATTTTTCCTTTGTGTGTCCCAAAGTACTCCACCACCAGATGTCGTAGACAATTCCCGCCTTGGTTTAATGGTACCATAATAAAGGATATCAGAACTAAGGAGATATTGTTTAGGAGGTTAAAGTTAAATTCTGATGAAATGACCTTGTATGATTACAAAGCTTTGAGACTCAAAATTAAAAAGGATATCGATATTGCTTATCAAGACTATGTAAAAAAAGCTGAAGATGATATAAAGCGAGATCCGTCAAAGTTCTGGTCATTTGTCAACAGCAGAAGAGGTCATGGCTCTATACCTAAGAATATGACTGATAACGGTTTGGATATAAGTGAGCCTCAAGATATTCTAAACAGCTTTGCTGACTTTTTCAGTAAATCTTTTATTGCTAGCTCAAGTGGCAAAACCAACTCCACTCAGTCAACTGGAAGTAGTCCTTTAACAGTGACTGAATTTAATGTGAATGAGGTTTATGATGCCTTGAGAAGACTAAAGCCTAAATTAACTTCTGGTCCAGATGGCATTCCGGCTTTTATTTTGAAAGACTGTGCATCTGTATTTGCGAAGCCTTTAGCAACGATATTCAACTTATCGCTGCAAAATGGTAAATATCCATCAACGTGGAAAGTGTCAAAAGTTTGTCCTGTTTTTAAAAATAAGGGTAACAAGAGCGATATTGAGAATTATAGACAAATCACGATAATTAACAACTTTTCAAAGGTTTTTGAGTTTCTTATATATGATGCAGTTTACTGGCATGTGCATAATAGTATATCAACTCAACAGCATAGCTTCATGAAAAAACGATCAACTGTGACAAACTTATTCTGCACTGCTCAGTATATCTGGAAATATAGATTCTCGTACTCAAGTGGACGTCATTTATACTGATTTCTCAAAGGCCTTTGACCGAGTAGATCACGACACTCTTCTTGACAATTTAGCTGACTTTGGTGTCATTGGCCATCTTCTCCTGCTTGTTAAATCTTATTTGTCAAATAGAGTATCTTTTGTTTCGCACAATGGCTTTAAATCTAACACTTATAAAATTACATCAGGTGTTCCCCAGGGGTCTGTTCTGGGACCGTTATTTTTCATTATCTTTATAAATGACATTGAACTACAATTGGATGTCACTTTTCTTTTATATGCGGATGACCTGAAGCTTCTCTGTCCCATTCAATCTCTAACTGACTGTGAAAAGTTACAGCATAACGTAAACATGCTCAACTGCTGGAGTCAGGAAAATAATTTGCCATTGAATGCTGAGAAGTGCAATGTGGTCAGTTATAGGAACAAGACACAGTCCATCATATTTGGCTATGATATTGGTGGTGTGCCCCTTAATCGATTGCATGAAATAAAGGATTTAGGTGTCATTTTCAACAGTAAATATTGCTTCAATGGTCAAATGGATTCAATTATTGCAGAGAGTTACAAAAAGCTGGGCTTCATCATACGCTGTGGTTGCGAGTTGCAGGATATTAAAACAATTAAGCTTCTATATAACTCACTTGTAAGATCGAAGCTTGAATATGCGGCAATTATTGGTTGAATTGCAATATTCCTGATCGCGATGTATTGCTTAATGGATATACATTTTTTAGGAAAGATCGTTCTGACAGGGGAGGTGGTGTCGGGTTATACGTAAAAGTAAATCTCACATGTCAACTGCTAGAACTAGATTTTGCTGTTAATACCTCACTTGAAATTATTAGCTGCAAATTGGTCGCAAATAACCGCAACTTTTTAGTCATTGTTGTATATCGTCCGCCTCATTGCTCCATGAATCAATTCATCCAAGTTCTTGACAACATACTCTCATTTTTCACTCCACAGTATGAAAATATAGTGTTTCTTGGCGACATGAATGTTGATTTACTTAATCATAACAATATTCTTAGTAATTGTTTTGATTCCTATAACTTTACTCAAGTTATCAATGAGCCAACTAGAATTACGCAGTTCAGTTCTACATTGATAGATCCTATATTCATCAATGCTGGGGTAATGTTAAACAAATCTGGAACGCTAAATGCTGATATCATTTCAGATCATAGGTTGGTATATTGTGAACTTCTCGTGACTATTCGTAGACCAGAAGCAAAGTTTTTGACATATAGAGATCTAAAAAATGTGAATATTGAGCTGCTTAAAGAACGATTAACAACTTTGCATTTGGATGATGTTTTCTATGTACAAGACATTGATACGAAAGTTTCAATTTTCACTGAGCGTTTGATTCACTTATATAATGAAGTTGCCCCAATCAGGTCTGCACGCATTACCAAAGCTGCTGCTCCTTGGTTGACATCAAATCTAACGCGTATACTTCGTTTGCGAGACAATGCGTTTCGTGCATATCAGGAAAATAAAACAGATCAAAATTGGCGGACGTATAAGGACCGTAGAAATTTTGCACTGGCCTCGATTCGCAGAGAAAAGAAGGCATATTTAACCCAGCTGGATATTTCGAACTCGGGAAAGCTGTGGAAAAATTTGAGAAGTATGAATATCTGTCAGCAGAAACGAATTGAGATTCCTGATAGTTTATCTGATCCAGAGGAAACTAATAATCATTTCCTCTCAAATTTTACATTCGACGATCACTCCAATAATGTAGTTAATAATACAGCCAATTTTTACTTCAACAACCGTTTTGATAATAATTTGACTCCTTTCACTCTTCATACAGTAACACAAGAAATCGTTCTTGATATCATTTTATCGATTAAATCGACTGCCACTGGGAGTGATGGATGGAATTCAATAATGATACGACTTTGTTTGCCAGAAACACTTGACCACATAACTCACATAGTAAATATGTGTTTAGAGAAGGGCTTTTTCCCAACAAGCTGGAAAGAAGCTGTCATCGCACCTATTGCTAAAGTCACAAACCCAGCTGAATACCATGATCTTAGACCGATCAGCATTTTATGTTTTCTTTCTAAGATATTAGAAAAGATCGTCTATCTACAGCTTATTGAGTACCTTGAACTTAATCATATGTTTCCGATACATCAGTCTGGATTCCGCAAGAATCATAGTACTACAACTGCTTTGTTATATATAATTGATAACATAATCAGAAATTTGGATGATCGCATTGGTACAATATTGGTTATGCTTGATTTATCTAAAGCGTTTGATTCTGTGAACCACCGTATACTTTTGAGTAAGTTGAAGTACCTTGGTTTAGGTAATACTGCTCTTATGTTCTTTGACTCTTACTTGTCTAATCGAACGCAAAAGGTGAAAACCAGTAAAGGTGTATCTGTGCCCAAGCATGTTCCTTCTGGAGTTCCACAGGGCTCGATCTTGGGACCTCTACTTTATTTGGTTTTCACGTTTGACTTGCATAACAGTGTTGAGCATTGCGCATTCCAAACTTATGCAGACGATACACAGTTAACATTTAATTTTGACTCTATCAACTTCAATGAAATTTCTTATAAACTTAATGTCGACTTAGCTAATATTGATAATTTCTGCAAACGGCACTCACTGAAAATAAACCCTAGTAAATCGAATGCTATTGTCTTTAGTCCACATAATTTTCCAGTTAATGTTGTTGATCTAATCCAACTGTCTGTGAATCATACTGTCATACCCTTAGTTAACGAAGCAAAAAACCTGGGCGTTATTTTGGATAAAGACCTCCGTTTTAATCAGCACGTGAATGCCACCCTTAAATCCACATATATATCGTTGAAATTATTATATTCAAACCGGCACATTCTTAATTTCAAAACGCGGAAAAAACTTGTTGAGAGTCTTGTTATGTCTAAAATATTTTATTCGCTGGTTCTTTATTATCCTTGTATTGATTATAACACTAAATATAGACTGCAGAAAATCCAAAACAGTTGTTGTCGGTTCGTATATGGCCTCAGAAGGTATGATCACGTATCGTCTAAGATAAAAGAGCTAAAATGGCTAAAACTTGATAAACACTATACTTTCTCTTTGGGTGTATTTGTCCATAAATTGATTTCCACAAGGTCACCCATTTATCTTATGGACAAACTTGTACCTCGTGGTCAAGTCATTTCTAGAGCCCTACGACATAACCAT